CCACGTCCACAGATTCCACCTGGATAGCCACGCCCATCAACACCGCCCACCCTTTGATGTCCACCGACTCCGCCTGGATAACCACGCCCAGCAACCCCTTCCACATCACTACCACACCCACATACCCCTCCCATTGTACCACCACGCCCAACTACTCCGACCAGATGATCACGCCCATCAACACCGCTCACCCGTCCACGTCCACTGACTCAGACCAGATAACCACGCCCATCAACACCACCCACCCATCCCACACCCCCACCACCACACACCCATCCCACACCACAGCTACCACCACCGAACACTACCCCGAGTTCGCGTCTGTAGATCTGAACGACAACATGAGCCAAGCACACGCACATGACTCACCATCAGTTACCTCGACCAAGGATCTGAACGTGGTGGATCATGACTCTGAAATAGGGGTCAATATCTACGAATATGACGACTGGCTGGTTATCTAAAATAGTGTGTGTGTGTGTGTGTGTTGTCAACTGGTCACCTGAACAATGTGTATGTTCAATGGGCTTGATCATCTGAACAAACTGTGTGTTCTCTTGGGGATGATCACCTGTACAAAGTGTGTTAATTCAATGAGCTGATCACCTGAACAAAGTGTTAACTCGCTCTTTCAACTGAACAAAGGATGTTTACTATGAACTGGTGTACTGAACAAAGTGTGTATTTGTGTTTCATGACAAGTATTCAAGGACGCCTCGTAGTACAGTTCATCCAGGAGTCACTTACATGGTGCACCCGTGTAAGGAAACCAGTGTATAGTCCGTTGGTATCATGAGGTCCTCACCATGACTCGCATCCATGTCAACAAAGACGATAATAACTGCAATATGAATGTTGATATTTGTGTTTTTTATCATTAGTTGTAACATTTATATCGATTTTCAGATTTTCACAGTAAATTGTGTATAATTTTGTGGATTTCCTCATTAGTTACAATGTATTAAAATATAAATAATCACAAGTTGTAAAATTTATAATCTTGTGAATTTTCTCCTAAGTTTTATTTACATGTCATGTTTATGAATCCAAGATCATTATTTCTTGGAGATAAAAAATAAAGTTTTCCTACAACTCTTCGTCTCATTGGATATTCCTGGATCTCGATTCGATAAACGTTTATTAAAAGGTTAAAACACAGGAAGATGTGTTTAACCCCTGAGAGAGTTTTACCTCCTTGTGTTAAGACATCAAGAGAACAGACTACCAGACATACAAACAAACAATCAATATTAACTTTTCTCTATACATTTATAATATCAATTTATTTGGATCACCTGAACATTAGACACCCAAGCTTATTTACCTGAAGATTAGACACCCAAGCTTATTTACCTGAAGATTAGACACCCAAGCTTATTTACCTGAAGATTAGATACCCAAGCTTATTTACCTGAAGATTAGACACCCAAGCTTATTTACCTGAAGATTAGACACCCAAGCTTATTTACCTGAAGATTAGATACCCAAGCTTATTTACCTGAAGATTAGACACCCAAGCTTATTTCACCTGAAGATTAGACACCCAAGCTTATTTCACCTGAAGATTAGACACCCAAGCTTATTTCACCTTAAAATTAGATACCCAAGCTTATTTCATCTGATGATTATGCACCCCAGCTTATTTCACATGATGATTATGCACCCCAGCTTATGTCACCTGATGATTATGCACCCCAGCTTATTTCACCTGATGATTATGCACCCCAGCTTATTTCACCTGATGATTATGCACCCCAGCTTATGTCACCAGAACATTATACACCCAAGCTTATTTCATATGAAGATTATACACCCAGCTTATTTCACCTGATGATTATGCACCCCAGCTTATTTCACCTGATGATTATACACCCCAGCTTATTTCACCTGATGATTATACACCCCAACTTATTTCACCTGATGATTATACACCCCAGCTTATTTCACATGAAGATAAATCACCCTTAAACTAACCTAACCTAACCTTCTTTAACCTAGCGTACCCTAACCAACCAGGTAGCGTTAGGGTAATGTGGTTACATAAGAACATAAGAAAATAAGGAGTCTGCAATAGGCCGGTTGGCCTGTGCATGGCAGCTCCTGTCGAGAGTTACTACCACTCTCTATCATCCATGAATCTATCTAGCCTCCTGCTGAAACTTTCCAGCGTTCCAGCACTTACTGCATAGTTGCTAAGCTTGTTCCACTAGTCCACCACCCTATTTGTGAACCAGTTCCTTCCTATCTCCCTCCTAAACCTAAACTTATCCAACTTAAATCCGTTGCTACGAGTCCTATCCTGCTCGGATATTATAAGAACTTTATCTATATCTCCTTTATTGATTCCTTTCACCCACTAAAATATTTTTATCATATCTCCCCGCACTCTTCGTCTTTCTAGGGAATGCAATTTTAGTTTCTTTAACCTATCTTAATATGGAAGGTTTCTAAGTCCAGGAATCATTTTCGCCATTATTTAACACCATCTACGCTGACTCATCCGCCTCTACCGCCGTGGACCTCCCCGAGTGTTGATGTTGTCGTCCACACCTTCCCTGGTCGTAAATCCACCCAACTGCGGTATATGCTCAAACTTAACTGCCTTGAACAGATTAATGATGTCGCCTCCTCTCTAAAGACCTCCCACCCTCCTATCCTCGTCTACTGTGATGGGTCTGTTACCACGCTGGGCAGTGCTGGGGCAGCTGTGTGGATTCCTGAGCGCCAGGCCTACAGGAAAATCAGGGTCCACGAATGGGCCTCCTCCACTGACACTGAAAGCATAACCATCCTCACGGGCATTCATGAGGGGGCGACCTGTGCTCGCACTGAACGCCGGAACCTCCTTATAATCAGTGACAGCACTGCGCTAGCGAGGCTCAAATTACCCTCCTCCTCCTCCCCTGCCGCCCAACACACTTTCCCCCCACACACTCCTCATATAGATTTAGATTGCCCACGAGGGGGCTAGTTTATTGGGCACCCCCTTACATCCTGTGCAAGGTGAAGTGCAGAAGCGTTTACAGTGCCCATCGGGGAAGAATGCGGAGTTCATACTTGTCTTTATGACTCATGCATTAACGGCGTAAAAGCCTGAAGGGTCATAGGTTTTGTCAGCAGGTTACATAAAGTGACAGAATGATGAGTGTGTGGGGGGAAACTTCCCGGTACAATTTATCTGTTTATGGCAAAGTGTGGCAGGTCCATAATAATGTCAAGTGCCAGGCCTGTCACTAGGGGGAGGGATATCAGGGCAGGGAGGGAAGAGGTGTTGGTAACGGCTGGGGACCTGTAGGAGGAGGTCATAGGACAAGTGAGGATGGAGTGAGAGGGTGTGAGAGTCGGGTTGTTCCTAGCCTCCATTAGTCCCTGTTCACCTAGCAGTAAAGTAGGTACCTGTTGTAAGTCGAAATTTGCGAATTCGTAATCAGGGAGTTGTTGGAGCTTCCAATGACTTGATGACATAAACCACTAACTCTTCAGGCTTCCACGCCCTTGACTCTTCAGGCTTCTACGCCCTTAACTCATGAGACATAAAGGCAAGCATGAACTTAGCATGCTTCCCTGTTGGGCGCTGTAAACGCTTCTGCGCTTCACCTTACACAAGGATGTAGGGGAGTGACCAATAAAAAAAAAAAATAAAAAAAAAGAGAGAGAGAGTCGGGTTGGCCACAAAGTTTACAAACAGTGAGGACAGGTCATTCTGTCACTCTATGTAACTTGCTGACAAACCCTATGACCCTTCAGGCTTCTACGCCCTTAATGCATGATTCATAATGGCAAGCATGAACTTAGCATGCTTCCCAGATGGGCGCGGTAAACGCTACTGCGTTTCACTTTGCACAGGATGTAAGGGGGTGCCCAATAAACTAGCCCCCTCGGGGGCTATCTAAAAAAAAATCTAAAAATCATCTAGGCTGACCCTCTATCGGTGAGCCATGGTCTTATCTAATTTAAAATTTCCCCTCGATACCGTTAGGTTAGCTTAGGTTATGATATAGCATCGCTTATTATTATCTATACCTTTTCATTTAACTCTAACATTACGAATTCATGAGTGAGATCTTTCTTGATTCAGTTTTAACATTTAAAGGCCTTAACAGCTGTTGGACCAAGTGTTGTGCTTGTTGGCCACCAGCAACAGTAGTTTAGCAAGCGTGACGTCACAGTTCGAGTTGTGGATTAAGACTCGCCAGTGACAAACATGGTGTCGACTCTGAGCATTTACTCTCGCGTTACCTTAATATTTTATTCTTAACATTTTATTCTCCCACATTAATAAGTTTTCATTAATATAAACTAAAATATTTCAATTCAATTTCATTAAAAAAAAATGTCATTGTATCTACCAAGTACAGACCCACAGTGGCATATATTAAGACCCTAAGTAAAGGATGTGTAAATATGTCCACAAAACTGTCCGGCTTTAACCTGACTACTTGTTGGGAGGGTAGAACAAACACTATCCTAATCTATCTATCTATCTATAAGTATTTTTCTATCAAATTATCTAGAATCCTGGTTAAAGTTTCTAGCTATTATACAGCCACAATTGTTCTGCTGCTGTTGCTTTTCTTCCGTTTCTCCTGTTACTGCTGCTCTCGCCTCTCCTGTTGATACATTACCATCACATATTCATAAGTAAGTCCTTTTTATTTTCGTGGTCGCTTTGTTAACGAGGATAAAGTACCTCCCGGTCACAAAGAACGTACAGTATTTTCTATCAATAAGGACAAACTTCAAAAATATGCTTTCCTGAGAGTTACGTTACACCACTTACAGTTGTTATCCACATGTAATATATTCTCCAAATACCGTACATCACAAGTGACCGCCAAGAGAGCAACATGACGTTCTAAAGTTCAGTGAAGATCCTCGAGGTGTCTCATGAAACAAATGGTTCAGTGTTTCAGTAGTGTTCGACCCTCAGCTGCTGCATTACGTCACGGAGCAAGTCTTCTTCGTGCCTGCCCGTCATCGGTAAGTCAGTGTACCACCAGCTGACATAACCAACAGTTCTCCTTGTGACTGTGGATAAATTTCTGACGACTCTCTGTTGAGATAGTATCTGACGAAGTTACGACAATGGTTGTTAATTTAGACGTGGAAACTGAGGAAGGGCTGCAGACCGTGATTTGGGAAGTTCCCTATATCCAGACCACATTGGATCCTGCAGCTGACGAGGAGATGTTTTGTGCTTTCCTCATTCTCCTGTTGGTCATGATGATTGTGTTTGTGTTCATCGTGCATTTCGTCTACTTCTGCCAGTTCCTCCGTCGCAGGAAGTGAGTTTTAAGCTACTCGTTTAGTTTGCTTAAGTGTTATGTCATAAGTTTATTCTTTCTCTTAACTAACTTGGTTAAATATCAATATTAACCGTATCCTAAAGCAGAAATTAAGAATATAACTTAATCACCAGTTACGTATCGCTTGGATTAACTAAAAGATGATTGAGTTTTCTCGTTTATCTTTCAAATTAACTCCCGCCAACACTTGTAAATATAAATTATAGTTCGCTGAATAATTTATTTCTATAATTTTAATTTTTTAAGCCTTCCTCGCTGCCATTGTGGCTTTCTAGCCTAACTTGTTCCTCGGTAATATAAATATTTACAAAAGACAATTGTGGGTAAAATTTAGATTATAACCAAAATACTTCTGTGCACTCGTTTCGGGAAGACAGACGTTTGATTTTAAAAGGGAATCTGATTGATTAGCCTACATAATCGCTTTCTTTTCGTTGAAGCTCTAGAAGCGTAAATAACTTTATTACAGGTACACCAGCATCGGCAGCAATGTAGTGTAGACTCCTGCCTGCCCCATAGTGCCAGCAGTGGTCGCAGCAACACCACCGGGAGCCGAGGATGTTGTGGAGGCCATGAGCTGTGACCCTCAGATGTCGTCCCTGTTGTGGACGAACCAAAATTGAAGACCTCTAAGACTGTTTTAAACATTGCACATTATTTTTCAGTTTTTTAATGTTCGTTTTTAATCTTGGGTAACACTTAGGTTTGGTCTTTTATTCAATCTGACAAAATTGATGAATTAGAAAATTTCGTGGACTTTAATTTCTTATTTAAATAGTTTGACCACTTGGTGAAGATTAAACGCTTGACAAACTGAATAGTATAAAAATTTGTCTTCGGTAGTATTTCATTAGAAATTTTAAAGTTACTTCAAATACGGTCTTGTGCTGTTAAAGAGCCAAGATTCTTCCTTCACTAGTTCCCTTGATCGTATTTTAAATTTAAACCTATATTGTTAATTCAAATTTTTAAAGTGGTTAGCTTTATTTTTTTTAAAGGGCATCCAGAATGAAGTGCAAATTTGGTTCAATATGGACTCCTGGGATATGACTGGATAGACATTCTTAAATGTTAAACTGCTGTATTTAATGCTTGACTTCTTAAAAGTAATTAACACTTGCAATAGACTGTTACTAGATGACCTGCTGTATTTAAAGATTTGACTATGCTTGAGTATAACTTTTAACACTTGCGTTAGACTGTTCCATTGATAAATTTCAGATTTGCGCTTCGTTTATTTGCTATTCTGTTTTTAGTTGCATAAATAATGGTTATTTAAAACTACATAATCTTGTTGCTTCATTACTGGTAATTTTACTTCACAAATATACCAGTCATTATTTTGCTTTAACGAACTCGTAATCAACTGTATCGTGTAAGCGGTGTAGTTCGCAATAGAACAGATGACTTGTAGCCTTAGATCAGGTAGAGTCGAGAGACCACATTACCATTTTGTGTTAACTATTTCCCTTTGTTTTATGAATCTTGGTTTTTAAATATTTTTTACTGTATACCTTTGTTACGGAATAACCTCATAAGTAGCACTAATAGAATTTTTAAGGCTGGGCAGAAATCCTCTGATGTTAAATGCCATTTTAGCAAACCCAGACGGGTTGCTTAATGAAATTTGACTCTCTATTTACAGGTTTATAATAATGAAGTTATATTTTTTATTAGTGCACGAAGTTTTCTTGATTAAAAACCATTGTCGTGAAACATTTTTTTACACTATTTAGACTGCTGGTGCACTCCATCATTGATTGTCTGTATTTCAAAATGTGCCCGAGGCTGCTAGTGCTCGTATATATTGGAACAAATCATTATAACCTGAATATATTATATCGATGTAACCTGTATTGAAGAACTGCTGGTACTGTAACCTAAATAAAAGTGCAATGTTATGTCTTGTATCATACCTCTCGAGTGATCTAATACACGGACGGATTTCTCTTGTGTCACCCCTTACAGTAGCTCTACTGAAGTGACTTCGCATCATATTGATGACTTTAACAAAGTTTCTTTAACTAAATCCGTTGTTTATGAACCTGTCGACGGAATAATTGCTTGGTATATTAATGTCCTTTGGATGGCTTTTAATAATTAAAACTCCTATATAAGAGCTGGGCATTCCACTGCACTGGTCTTCGAAATAAAGGTTAAGTTAAACTATTTCCTAAACTTTTAGTTCAGGAACACAACTGAACTATAGAGTATCACTATTCGGTATATAAACGTATTCTCGTTCAAGATTCTAAGAACACTGCTGGAGACAGCTGGCAACTTAAGGCAGTTTGTTTACTATAGTACGTAGTTAAAGTAATGAATGTAAAAGTAAACGATGAATGGCAACCAAGGTGCTTAACTAATGGTTGGGCTTTGTTTCGCTCTACATTATACTACGCACTATAATAAAACGGCCTTGAGTTACCAGCTGTTTCTAGTAGTGTTCGAAGAATCTTGAACGAGACTGTACGTCTACACGTGTAGAGACGAATATTGAAAGAAACGTTTCGTCACAACTAACCCCCTCACTACATCCTCACTTGCCCTATGACCTCCTCCTATAGGTCCCCAGCCGTTACCAACACCTCTTCCCTCCCAGACCAGATATCCCTCCTAGTCACAGGCCTGGCATTTGACATTATTAGGGACCTGCCACTCTTTGCCATAAACAGATAAAATGTACCGGGAACTTCCCCCCACACACTCATCATTCTCTCACTTTATGTAACTTGACAGAACTTATGACCCTTCAGGCTTTTACGCCCTTAATGTACGAGTCATAAAGGCAAGTATGAACTTTTCATACTTCTGTTGGGCGCTGTAAACGCTTCTGCGCTTCACCTTGCACAGGATGTAAGGGGGTGCCCAATAAACTAGCCCCCTCGGGGGCAATTCTGAAATCTGAATCACAACTAACCAAAAAAAAAAAACTTGCTACACACTGAAAAGCAAGCAAGACTAAACTAATGTTCAAATTGCAACCCCTTTTTTAAGAAGTTACCATAAAGTTTTAGACGGCTGTCATTTAAGCAGAACGAATAAAAACCGAGCACAAACTGTTTTCTATACCACACCGTTTACTATAAATGGAAATGCTTGGAAAAGACGTTTAATACACTGGCAACAAGAGCCTCGCACCTTAAGTACATTGAAAGAAAAGTCGTGTCGAACTTTGAAAATATATGCCGAAGGTCTATACTGTTGGTGCGTTCTTCCTTGTGGTAGGGGGCTCTCATAATGTTTCAAGAGTTCTATTTAATCTTCTGACAAAATCGCGACACGACTTTTGTCTTTGATCGTGCAATAGGTTCTTTACTGGTCTATGGGACCCCCTGAAGGTCTGGAAATGTGGCGAGTTTCCTTAATATTTATGAACGGGTAAAAACTACTACAGGAGCTCGAATCCTAAGATCATTTATTTGTCGGTCACGGCGGTAACTAGTTAGGAATCTGACTGCTGACGAGCAATACATGATACCCTCTCCTCTTTCTAACCACACGTGTTTGGCTGTGTACCTCAGGGTAACTAAAATAGAACTGCGAAACTTGGACGAGAGGATTATTCTGCGTGAAAGCTCAAAAACACTGAACTAAAATAAAATAAACTAATGGCAATATAAACTTGACCTCGAAGGACAACTGATTCGCAAGTGATAGGAGTTACGGCGAGAGTTGTACTGTTGAGGTACTCTGTAGGCAGTATCTTACAACCTTGACCGCGTTAGATACTGCTTCAGGACGAGATTAACATGTGATGCACAATGCAGTTCCTTCCTGAATCATAATCATGTGGTGCACAGTGCAGTTCCTTATTGGGTCATAAACATGTGGTGCACAGTGCAAGTCCTTATTGGGTCATAAAAATGTGGTGCACAGTGCAGTTCCTTCCTGAATCATAAACATGTGGTGCACAGTGCAAGTCCTTATTGGGTCATAAACATGTGGTGCACAGTGCAAGTCCTTATTGGGTCATAAAAATGTGGTGCAAAGTGCAGTTCCTTCCTGAATCATAAACATGTGGTGCACAGTGCAGTTCCTTATTGGGTCATAAACATGTGGTGCACAAAGCAGTTCCTTCCTGAATCATAAACATGTGGTGCACAGTGCAGTTCCTTATTGGGTCATAAACATGTGGTGCACAGTGCAAGTCCTTATTGGGTCATAAAAATGTGGTGCACAGTGCAGTTCCTTCCTGAGTCATAAACATGTGGTGCACAGTGCAGTTCCTTATCGGGTCATAAACATGTGGTGCACAGTGCAAGTCCTTATTGGGTCATAAAAATGTGGTGCACAGTGCAGTTCCTTCCTGAGTCATAAAAATGTGGTGCACAGTGCAGTTCCTTCCTGAGTCATAAACATGTGGTGCACAGTGCAGTGTTTCCATCAGATTAGTGGGTTTACCGTATCTTGTCCTTGTATAATTTATATGGATTAACGGATCTTGAAATATATGTTTAACGTAATTTATATAACAATTTGGACTTTTCATGTTTTAGTTACACCGAAAATTTTCAAAAGTTGTGAAATTTCTAGTGATTTTTTTTTTCATGAGCTGGACCATTTTTTTTTTTTTTTAGGGAGCAGTGCGTGAAATATGCCAGGGTGTGTAAAATTAACCAAGTGATAACACCGTGGCACGCCTGCTGTCCGCTATTTCATATATAAAATGGATTGTATACAAGAGATTCCCTGACTAGGACTACAGGGACAGAAGAGGTTAATGCTAATGACGACGATGTTGGGGGGGCCAATGATATGGCCTCGAGTTGATCATTTAGACCAGCTGGATACACACAAGTACTGGGAACCTGGTGGTACCCCTGTGATCTTGTTTCTTAGTGATGTCCTGCATGTATGGAAATTAGTGAAGGAACCTAAGCAGTGCATGTCAGTTCTGGAAAAGTGAGAATGCTGGCTGCTTAAAAATGGTATAAAATTAAATTAGTTTTTTTTTTCTCTTTTTTGCTGTAGATTAATCTTCCTTTGCGGTGTTATCTAGTGAACCAACTAGCAATGATAACAACTTGCTGTTGTTAGTGATACAATATTCTACTTGAAACAACACTACTGAAGTAGGAAATTATAAAATATATAATACAGTATATCAATAAGGAAAGTTTCAAATTCTTATGAACCATCCGCCCTTTCCCCGACCACTGACCTGCCTTTCTGATTGGTTGAATTACCACTATGGGTTGTTTCACACTGTTACAGACCCGAGGTTTCTTCAGCGACCGACGAGGTGGGACATGGCTCATTAACAACACGTCCACCCTCACAGTTGGTTGATCGCTCGCAAGCTGACTTTTTATAAATAGTTTTCGGAAACTTCGGTTTTCATAAGCAGGTACAAAACTGATACAATGTTCTATTACTTGACCAAATTTTAATTATCCAAGGAAGGTTCGATCTATTAACGACTGTGAATTAGTGGACCCAATGTCATAGAACAAAACTTCTACTTGTTGAAACCTGAAAAAAATCTGTGGCCTTAATCCTGGTTTCACTGTTGCACGGCGTCAAGTCCTCCACCATGAGCCATTTTAAGTACAGCGAGATATCCACTGAACGTGTGATGATTTCCCTAATGTCTTCAACGTCCCTACAGTTTGATGAAGACGCGCCTCTCCCAATTTCTACAGTCCCTCCTAACAGTAACTGGAATACCAAGAGCTTACATGTGGAAACCCTAAGTGTAGAGGCCACTAGCGTCAATATTACCACACAATTCGTTTTTGATGACTGGATACCCGATGTAAAACCGCACCCGGTGGCGCCGTTCCCCACACTAACTCCTGTGTATTTTGAGCCAGTGAATGACCAGATCAGGAACTGGATCGGTGTGTGTATCCTGATCATGGTGGCCACGGTCTTCACCTTGTGTTCTGCCCGAAGCCTCTACAAAGGTAAGCCAAACCATAGTGTTGGAAGATGGCTAAATTGACCCATAGAACATCTGGATTAACTTCTTCACACCTCGTAACAAAGTACGCAAAGTTAGTCTTTAAAGTACTCCTGGTACAAATTGGCAGCATTTTGCCTCACTACACATGAATTATTAGTTAAAACTTTACTTTATTCGCACTACTGTTGACTTTTCAGAAATCCAACTAGCTGTAGACAATAAATTGGAAGATCATGTATTAAATAAAGTTAAATTGTGACTTGGCGCCCATTAAAGTCCTGCAGTGATCATTACTATATAGAGGACATAATTGTAATGAACTCGCTCCACCTCATCCATAAGAAATTTCCTTGAACCTTGTTGAGAATACTTAGCAATATTTTCCAACTTTTTGTGGAGAAAGGGATAAAAATATACATATCATGGCAAATATAGTTCATCTATTAAAAACAGCTTTACCTCGAAAGTGTAATGCCTATTCATATATCGTTGTAAATAAAGGAGATTTAAAACATTTCTAGAGTTGTCTTATGTATATAGACTAATCCCCTCTTTCTAAACCGATTATTTATCTAATCTTTACCTCTTGTGTAGTGCTCAATATACAACTTGAGAGCAAGGGACAAAAGATCATTGTCAGCGATCATTTACGGGAGTTCTTGATTCGAGTTTTTCACCCGAATTAAACAAACCCTAATGCTCCATGGGTGGGAAAACGGTGGTTAATCAGATGAAAAATAACCTGTGATCTTAAGGTAATCGGTCTTTCCTTCGGTGAATCTTGCTCCAAGGCGTCTTAGTCTTCAGATGATCAGTCTTGGTAACTAGGTGATTCTTTTCCAGAATGCCGAAGGACGTGGCCGTACAGCCCGTTGAGGCGGCGTCTGAGGCGTTGGTTTCCCAGTTGGTTTGTCGAGGCGCCAGAACCCGTGGTGGAATTTATCCACGTTAATAACCCCCACGATAACCCGGTGTTCAACCCACAATACGGTCTGGAAGATCTCGAGGTGGAGAACCTTCACGGCCATGAGAAAAACCCACAAGATAATGACCGTGAACCTCCCCAGGACCCGGAGGAGAACCGCCGCTTTAGTGTCCAGGACCCGAGGAGAGTCACCGTCTTGGCCTTCAGGGCCGGGAGGACAACCGACGTCACAGTCTTCAAGACCCGGGGGAAAACCACCGTCCTAGTCAACAGGACCTGAGGAGAACCACCGTCATAGTCTCCAGGACCCGGAAGAGAACCACTTGAAACTACTCCAGAACCCGGAAGCAATACTCTAGAACCCGGAGGTGCTACTCCAGAAGATGATGAAAACCTGCTCCAAAACTCGGAAGATAAGCTCCCCTAAGACGTGTTTCAACAGAACCTGGACCACATACTCCGTCCCCTTGGGTTCATCAGCTCCCAGATCATCTTGACTAACACGGTTTATGGTGGTTTATATACAATAGTCTAGTACATTGTTTTGATGTTAACGTAATTGAAAAAAGTGACTTTGGTAAGTGTTCTCCATATACAAGGATATTATATTTTTACATTGATTTTAAATTTTCACTACGTGGTTTGTTTTAAAGTTCTGTCTACCTTGGACAGAGATAATAGTGGAGTTCCTTCTGTGAACTCCACATTAATGGATGATTGTTCATTGATAACCTGAAGTTTTAATTGTTTTAAAGTGTTGATTGAGTACTTCGGAATGCGAAATAAAAAGAAGGTACACTTTAAAATTTTAATTTCCTTTAACGTGTCTTGTCGCCCACCTGAAGTGTATTATGCTTCCATTTACTTCTTTAATAAAGGCCGTAATATATCTTGACCAGGTGCCAAACATACGTCGAATTAGACCCAATTCGACGTCACAAGACTAATTTTATATTTGAAGAGCATGTTTCTCACTTGACCAACAGTTTAAGGAGGTGAAAAAGTTTCAATAGAACAGAGCCCCCTCCCCTCTCCATACCCTCCATAACATGATTTTGAAATTATGGTAATTAGTGGAAACGAGGCGGTGGTAGAAAATTAAATCTACTAATGACAGGAAATTGCAGCAATTCCCAAGAGTATTAAGTGATGACGGAGACCCTATGCAAAGTAAACAAACATTTTTGTTATACCTGCAGCTCTTTTTACTTTAAATCTAGATTCTTGGACACCGTAACTCTTCGTGTATACGAAAAGGACTGGATAAAGAAGGCTGCTTGACCTCTTAAACAAAGTAAGTTTCTCAAATTGTCAGTATTGCAGCGTCAACTGTAAGGAATTTTTTTTTTTTTTTTTTTACGGGGATTAGCCCACCCGGGCACAGGTCACTGACCCACGTCAGGGCCTGGGAGGCGAAAATGTAATAATAATAATTATTCATATTAAATAAAATTAAAAATAAAAATAAAAACAAATTAAACAATAATTTATAGTAAATAAAATTTGTAATACAAAATTAAAAACAAAATAATAACAATAATAATAATAATAACACTAATAATAATAATTATAATAATGATAAAGGACCAGAAAAAGTGAGAAACAATATATGTACAGTATGTTGTCTTGTCAATAGTAAGAGAAACAATTGAGACCCTGCAATTGTGTGTAAATGAGGCAGAAAGACAGATCGGCAACCTGGGATTTGGTCACACTTTCCGTGATGCCATATGGCAGCAGCGTCTACCATTAGACAACACATTATGCTTCCAATATCTTCCCAGGCGGTAGTACCTCCCTGTTTGGTAGCTACCTGCTACCTGCATAAGCAGCTGGAATATAAGCCTCTTGTATATCATCGTTACTGGAAGGTGAACACTGTTTCATCGTCCTGTCTGTGGCCATTATAACTCGGTCAATAATTGAAAAAATAAATTCCAAAAGTACTTGGTAATTTTTATATTGAATATCGACCAAGTCCACTGGCACTCGTCTCGCAGGATACACTATGACACGTGGTACAGACACTTGAGGTGAGCTCGGGGCAATGGGGCAGGTTTTCTAGTCCTAAACCACGTCTTTTTACACTATTCGCTAAATGAAGAATACTGTACTAAATTAAACTGAGCCACACTAAATATTGAAGAGAGCACTGTGGCTCCCACGAGTCTCGTTCACGCTTTTGCTAGTAAACAAAAACTCCCTGGTCGAAATGTCTTAACCATTGGAGTCTGTTTTTTTTTTACTCTCCCATAACAGTGGGTAAGACACCTTAGCTATCTACTCGTGTTACGGTTTTATTGATTTTTTTTGGGGGGGGCATTAGCCCACCCGGGCACAGGTCACTGACCCACTTCGGGGCCTGGGGGGCGAAAATGTAATAATATTAATAATTCATAGCAAATAAAAATTTTAATGGAAAATACACAACTAAAAATAACAATAAAATGATAATAATAATAATAACACTAATAATAAAGAAAGAAAAAGATCAATAGAGAGAAACAATATATGTATGTTGTGTTGTCAAAGTAAGAGAAATAATTGAGACCCTGCAATTGTGTGTAGATGAGGCAGAAACTCAGATCAGCAACCTGGGACTTGGTCACAATTTTCGTGATGCCATATGGCAGCAGGGTCACAGGTTAGGTTAGGTTAAGAACTCGCCGGTGTCTCCCTGTCCATTAGTCCACATTTGATTATATAATTAATGTTGGAATAAAAAATTAAATATAAATTCAAGATTAAAATCAAAACTTATGCAGCTGCTGAAGTAACAAGTGAGTGACAGTTTTTTATATATACGTTATCTTCACTTGTTAACCCGGTCACCTGAAGGTGCCTGTAGCCCGTTGTGTGGATTCGTAATTAACTGGAGAAGAAATCTAAGCTTGTTATTTTCATCAAGTAATTACGTAGAGACGAGAAACACTACAGCATATAACAAATGATACACATATACTGTAGAGGATATTACATAACTACCTAACCAAAATATTGAGCCCCTATATAACCAGTTACAAGAACGCAGGATTTTTTTTTTACCAGAGATTAAGAGCGTTTGTAGACAAAATATTGGAGCAGTAAGTTCCTCACAATGCCATAAGTCTTAAGATAATTGACCTTCATTAACCCTTTAAGGCAGGGGTTTCTCTCACCTGAACAAAATACCAATGTGAGGAGCTGCTGTCTAATGGGCTCATCGAGATAGGCGTAAAGGTCATGCGAAGCTCATTTTATTTATTCAGAAAAAAACAAAATTGTCATATTGATGTTGCTGTAAAAACAAGTCCAAATTCAGATGTCCTGTACCAAGCGTAGACAGTAACGTCCTTTACAGTTACTTAGCACCACCACTAACTACTATAAGAAACGTAATGAATATGATGTTGCGTTTTGCGAAATGTAACCACGAACTGTACAACACAACATAACAAATAATGGATTTTATTTACATATAGGCCAACAGCACATTGGGTTATCGTTATATGAAACAAAAAGAGCAGTTCAAAGTTAGGTCAAGTCGAGACACAACAAAGGTTTGGGGTCTAGTTTGGACGGCAGTTCCTCACAAAACTTTTCCTTCGTATTGTTTAAACGAATTCCCCAGTCTGCAGTCACATTTAACTTACATTGTCAAATTTTTATTCACGTTTTCTATACGGTTTTACACTGCTTACTGGAATTAAACACGCAAAAATAAATACTCGATTGATGAAGCAGTGACGTGGCAAACAATGGTCACCAGCAGACGACGTACGTTGTTTTGGTGGTGCATTGTGGGAGAAGTCGACAACAGCCAAGAAACCAAACTCAAACCCAGTCACTCGTCAGCAGGTCAGGCAGCTACAGCTAGTAACGTTGGTCTTTCATTATAGAACATTGTATCCTCGAACAACTACTGTACTTGAAACTTGGTACTGATAGACTTTTGTGACTCTTTACCCTGACTTATCAAAGCCTCTCCAACGACATGATCCCTGGTGTTTTTGAGGAAGAAGTGTATCTTGGCGAGGGTCTCCTCCTGGAGGACTTTACTATGGAGGACTCTACTATGGAGGGCTCTACTATGGAGGGCTCTACTATGGAGGACTTTACTGATCTCACAACTATGGACGACAACGTGACTGTGAACGGGGCCCCTGAGGTAGGCATAGACTGCATCACCAGTCTTGACGAAAACTACAACCAAACCGTTAATGGGTTTGAGGGCAACTATATTCTCTGCCCCTCCAATCTGACCCAGACGGAAGGAAACCCGACCACCACCGACGCCAGCTTACTGCCTGGCGATCAAAATCAAGAATGGGATGTACATGTTGACACTGCATTAGCGTTGATGATCCTCGGCGGGTTCCTGGTCGTTGCTGGTGTCCTCTTCTACATCTATCAAGCCCGTAAACGTAAGACTCAACTTGGTTTTCCACTTTAGGAAAAATAAAGCTATGCAGGACGTTACGTCGTTCACAGAATAAGGTGTACTTCAGGACGGGGGTAAAATTTGTGCTATAACCCAGACATTTACTTCCTTATCCTTTGCTGAATTTCTCCTGTATAAAGTGTTTGTATTTTCATGGTTTCTAAATTACGGTGTTTTAGTTTTTCTAAGAATTTCTTTAGTTCCCACTCCATTACGAATCTCTGTGTCGGGAAACGGATAGTTGGTGTTTGAACGGTTTACCTCTGCAATAATTAACACTGAATATGTTGTGGACAATATAATAAATTCATAATTTTAACATGGCAAAGTAGTGTTTTCCGTAATGTATTCTTCACAAGTGTTCACTAGAAAAACTTGTATCTACAGAATTTTTTTTAATTATCACTTGTATTAGTTACTTCAAATGTTGGGTGAAGGTTGAAAGTTAAAACTAGTTTGTTTTCATTGTATAACGCATTAACTCGTATATTTTAAAAATATGAAAGTTCTTCAGAGTTCTCCTGTACTATATGGTTTGTGTGTATTAACGCCCATGTTCCCATTGTAATGTACGGACACGTGTTTTCCAGATAAAAGCTGGCTGTGGATGCGTGTGGTGTGGCAGAAGTGGCGTGAGCAGCGGCTGATGGGGAAACCCGACAACCCACAGCACAAACCCGACGTTCTGGCACCCGCTGAACACACGGAGAAGCCATTGAAGACTCCTGAGACAGATCATGTGTCTACGGAGTCGCCGCTCACGAACGGTGTTAGAGAGACTTCGTTAACGACCATTAGTGAAAAAGAAATGGATAATATCGATCTCAACGACGAAGACGGTCAACGACATGGCTCCAGTGTAAGCTTATCATAGATGTACTAGTTTACATCAACAGGCTCATCGTTGGTGAGCTAGTTTACATCAACAGGCTCATCGTTGGTGTACTAGTCAACATGTATAGGCTCATCGTTGGTGAGACTTGTTAACTAGATACCAGAATTGATCGATGGCACAATACCAGATTACTGTTGGTACTTACTATTGCTCACCATTTCTGTGACGTAACGCAGGAACCGCCGGTGACAGGAACCAGAAGGAATCTGGTGATCTTGTCCAGCACTAATGGTCCTGCTGACGACAGACGAAATGCCCTAACAAACTACTAACAAGGCAATTAAATGTGGTCTTTTAGATAGTATATTCCTACAGAAGTTTTTAAAAATTATATCAGTTTTGGTGTAAGAAAGTTTTAAATTTACTTAATTTGTTTGAAAGTATACACTATGTAGTAACGCGAGAAATAAAGTGATTATTTTCCTTCCGTGATATTCTTCCTCAAGACCTGCACAAGCTGATGGGTCTTCACATATACGGGACTGGGTAACCTTCGTCCATGTCTATAAGCACACCTGACACAACACTGACCCCATTTCCTAGAACACGCTCGTACAACACGGTCTGCTACAAAGGCTGCTAGACGTACAGTATTCCCTGAACAGTTAGTAAAGCGAAACTCCTAACCTTAAACTTTGGTAGGCAAATTAGATTGACGAATACCACCGAAGAACAAACCTCTTATACCTCCCGGGATATAGGGAAGTAAGTACCCGTTATCAAGAATTAACTACTTTAATTAAAACCCTTTGGAATGAATTTTTAGAGTACTCGACTACAAATTCGAGTAAAGCCTTCTGTAATACTAAGACTCTAGAGCAAAGAGCTGAAAACGAGAAGGCGAACCGTAAACCGGCAGTACTGCACAGGTAGACAAAGTCCGCAGGTGCCTCGAAACTTGGCTCGCGTAAATGTAAGGTTTTTCTATTGATGCATAATGAAAAACCTCTACTTATACAATCGGAGGATTTCATTCTTCATTACCATTTACTGAATACTAAAGATAGCATCTGTACTGTAGAGGTTTACGATGTCTTGGTTTTAACAGCTTAAAATCTGCCCATATTGACTCGAATATCCTGTGTCAAAGGTTCCACGTTGTTATTCGTATTTTGGAGGTGGAAGACTTTCGTTCTAGGTGTCTACTCGTGCAAGGCTCTCTGGTAAGACTCGTCAAATGTTGTTGGCCGCGGATGAGACGCCTGTAAGTCAGGGAATGCAGTATTCATCTCTCGATCGAATTTACAGGAGTATGATAAATGGATTCGCCCTTTCCCACTGAAATTTGCGCATGATGCTGGACACGTGGGAAAAACTGTGCATTTGCACTAACACAAGCGAGGATGGAAAGCCCCATTGTGTAAAGCTTTATTTTTTTATTCGCATCGGGCAACTCAATGGATGTACTCGCTGACCATCTACTTTCTTCAATGGCTGCTGCTCCTTTCTGCAACCTTGGCCCGCACTAACGCAGCTTGTAAGCGATTATATGTCGTCTTTATTTATATTGAAGTGAAATTCATATTCGAAACTGGCTGTACTCCAGTTGTTGCTGCTCCTACCACTTCCTCCGTTCAACTTGTGGGATAAAGCGTAATATTATCGTATAAATTAGATACACATCATGAGTCAAGCCTAACAAGAAAGTTAAGAACCACTTTAAGAAGCAACGCCTAGCTCAGTTTAGAATGTCATGTGAGCCATATACCCAAGGTCCTCTGGAATTGTTTGGGCAAATACTGGGAAGTTGTCAAGCAGGTTCTGGATGCAGGCGACTAACAGTACGGTGCGTGCTGGTCTTCATGTTTACATATTTTGTCGATGAAAACTGCCAAACTTCTCATGTGTTTCTCACCTTTGTTTATATTTATAATGTTTTTTTGTCATACGATTTGATTTTCATCTGCACTCGGAACAAGCTTCTCTACTCACGTGGAAGGTAGTTGAGAGATGTACTACGTGACCTGACTGAATCTGCTTCGTAATAAAGCGGGTGACCTTGGTGGGAGGCAGCGTGTGACTTACTCCTGGAGCTCTGGGAGGAGTTACCTTATCGTTCATGTATACAAGAAGTTCCTCACGTAGTCAGCAAAGTTTTTAAGTCTTATCAAGTGTGACTACAAACTATAGTGGACAGAACAAGTTTGGCCAATAATGACTCGTCAAAACGTCATCTAGGGAACACCTAAAATGAATCATCATGGAAATAAAGCGACACACACAGACACACCGTTCTCTAATCATCGTCCGAGTATGTACTGCAGTTTTCATGATACAACAAGACACTAAAACTTCACCGTCAGCCATATTTGAACGAAACCTTGTTGAAGATCATCACTCAGACCAACCTCGGTTCCTCTCATTACATTGATATTTTCTCGGACTCTTTAATCGTTATAGAATCATCATAAACCATCTACCTTAAAATTCCTATTCCATTATACCGGTTACCTGGTCATATTGGCAAGAGTGTTGAAGCACGATAACCGGTTCTATTTTACATATAATGTGAAACTGCTTCTTAAATAATCTTTACTGTGTTGATAAGTTCAAACATCAATTGTCCGAAATAAATGACGGTAACTTTCTTCTTGAAGCTTCATCCTAGTACTATAGTATTCTAAGCTTCAATAAACTGGCATTCTAAAGATTCGAAACTGGTTTGTTTCTTATGTTTCCTTGGACTAGGGTCGACGCGTCAAGTTTGACAATTCAGTCTGCCCACCGCATGCGGCACGACAAGTCAAGCTCTCCGGGGTTTTAACTATGCTGTGCTTTCCTTTTTTTCATAACTCTCGAGATAAATCCTTGAAGTAATGCCAAAACATTTCACTGAAGTCAGGAGGTGATAGTGGGTATTGGTAAATTCAAACAAGATTAAAGTATCTAGCAACAATAAAGTTTCTCCGCACTTGACGGTGGACTCCTGACCTCAAGTGTACCTCAGTGTGCTCGCGATGGTCAGCAGGTACGTTAATGTTTCCTTCATCGGTGAAGCGAACATTCAATCATTTGGTGACAGTGCAAGTTACAGTGAAGACCAACTGCCGGGGGGCGGAGGACCACCTGCCAACAACTCCTGGGTAACGTGGGGAGCGGTGGCCCTCTCTGTCCTCCTCCTCTTCCTCCTCCTCGTTTACGTGGTGAAAAGGATACGGCGACCTCGATCAGGGTGAGTACACGCTGTGATAACCCTGTTTGATATTATAGCGAGCTAAGGCTAGGATAAATGTCTTCTCTGGTATAGTTAACTTAAGAAACGTAAATTGGGTAAAGGAACAAGAAAGTCCACCCAAATCAAACATAACAAACGACCCTAAGGCAGTTCTGGTTGGGTGTTGTTGATTCTCGTGCGTGCGTCATCAGTAGTTTCTGGACACGTTTTTCCTCGCCACATTTACAATCCACACATTAAAGTAAACGTATCCGCGAAGAAACTGTAATGAAAATAATATTAAGGAATGAAGTGCCAGACCTTCACTTAGATATTTGCCGTGGTTGAGTTGCATGTAACAACAACATACAGATTACACAAGACATATTATCTGTGGAAAGTTCTGTCTTGAAAATTACGCTGTAAGTAATGTATTGGGAATTTTAGAAGATTTTGTATTACGTCCTAAGTATTAGGAATCGGGTATTGAATAATTAGTATTTAATGATTAGGAGCGGGATAGGTAAACATTGGTTTGGCAACAAGAGTAGCGATGATTAGAACAAGTTACCAAACATCACCATTAACTCAAATACGCTGGATAGCTTCAAACATAGGTTGGATGGATATATGAGCGATAGGGGTTGGGTGTAAATGGAACTGTCCAATATGGGCCAATAGGCCCGCTGCAGTTTCCTTCATTCCTATGTTATTACGTTGATTTTAAAACAAACGAAGACGGGGAACGTTTGTTGGCATACGGGATCTCCCATTGAAGGGAGTTCCCCTTATACTGTACAAGTATGGTATGGTTTGGCATCCTACAGGTACCTGTAGTTGAACGGTTAAACTAAAAATAAAGCCTCGTAACTGGACCCCTTTCTTTCAGGTACCAGAATCTGGAGGGAACGCGGCGACAAATGGTAGCCATATCTCAGCTGCTGGAGGAGATCCGTGGACGTCCCCGACGTGTCCAGCCCTACGAGCCTCTTACTGAAAGCGAGACACATTTCTTCGTCCACGACTTCAAAGACTTTTATTAATTTACTCAAGTCACTCTGGTAATGGCGGCTCTCTAACTCGACCAACACTCAAGCCAAAGGATATCTGCGTCACCTTCCTCTACATTTTATGAGGTTGGGTAGGCAAATAATGCACTAAAATTGACTCGCCTAAGAGTAAGACTGATTTTATCGCTTGGGGGGAAAGTGTGATTCTGAAAGATGAAATATGTCGGCGTGTGCGCGTGCGCGCAAGAGTAAATGTACAGTACCTAGCTGTAATATGTTCACGGGGAAGCAACCGTCTGAGGGGTAGTAAAGAGGGAAAAAATGTTTGTACACACTCGCCAAGTAACTTTGGCTCAGTGCCGACAGTGATGCGGCCCTGTGTATTTGTTTGTCATGTCGTTTTGGTATAGTGTACTGTAGTATTTAGGCCAGTTGGCATGTTGACATTAGTGAGTTTTCAAGTCGAAAATTTTAATTATTCCTCTTGTTTAAATCTTAATAAATCATATTGATTTTGCATATTCACAATAAATGAATATTTGTCACTCCACTTTAATTCGACCTTCCCTCCTCACCAACTTTACTCCTTGTCATTCGTGCGAGTAAGAACGCATGTATGTCTTTGGTGCTGATGCTTAGTATAAAAATGTCTTGATTAAATATTGTAGAGATTAATGTGCCAAGGTTAAGTTAATAGCGATATATTACGGTAAGGTTAACAGAGGGAAGATTTGGCTCGGCTCAGAATATAGTATGTGACACAAGGTAAGGATCTTTACATTGCCGGCTACGGTATGGTTAGTTTTATGTTAGTTTGTTAAAAATACGTCCATTATATCTGCACAGCCAATACTCGTCACCACAAAAACATTTTTCACACCAAATCCATAATAACAATTGGCTCTTCGGCAGCAGGATATGCCTTGAATTATGAAGGGTAATTAAGTTAAGCTGTTCCAAAAGTCGGCTAACATTAACGGAGTAGCAAGACTGAACGCTCAGATACACAGACATCACTGTTTACATTAATCTGAATATGTTGTACTCTGTATGTTAATTAAACCCATTCCTAACAATAATCTCACAGCCATCAAAACCTCAAGTAATATATTTTTTTTACTCGTAAGAATGAGTAAAACTTAACCCCAAAAAAAAGAGATGTCCCGTAGGAGGCAACAAGCTGTTATTAACTCGTTCAGACAATGAAGAGGGTGGCGACGCTGACCACACTCGCCTACACAATGTTCACAGACTAGTTACAATACATCACCTGCCTTATTACTAGCAATAGGTATTCATGAAGGTGGTGAATAATGATACAATTGAAAGCTGGAGGAAATCTGTAAATATTAAGGACAGTACATGGGTTGAGTGAGGTCCCTGTACCCCAGTATGACAACACCAGCCATTGCCCGTAGATAGTCGACCACCCTCTCGTTAACGAGTGAAGAAAAAAATACATAGTAAAGTGTGTGTTATTAAGTGAACTGGCTGTAATTTTGAGTGATAAAAGACCATGTGGTGATTATAGTGTTTGATATTAGTGCCGAGAACGATGCAAATGATGGCAAACGCACATGGGAGATGATACCCACAACGCCACGAGTGACCAGGGATAAGGACAACCAGACGCAGGCAGACGACAACAGCTCACGGGAGTTTAACCTTGTGGCAGAGACTGTGTTCCCCATACTCGGCTTTGTCTGCTGTCTTATCATAATTTCCTGTTGCTGCTGCTGGTACGTCTCTCGTTCTTTTCACCATCCCTGTACAGTACTCCTCTCTTCCTTCACCGTTATTATGTCCTTACAAATGTTTTCTCTCCCTCGCTATCTCCACGTCTAAACTCCCAGTCTTTTTGTTATTCATTCCTGTAAAGCAACTGATGTTCATATCTTTATCTGCCTTAATTAACAGGTGGCAACGGCGGCAGGAGCGTAGAAACCAGGAGGAGGTGTCGTCCCTGCTGGAGCACGCCAGAGCCCACGTGCCTTCCGACGGCAGCGTGGTGGCCAGGTCTCGACACTACCTCCTACTTCACTTCAGAGACTTTTACTGAACTCCTCCCAACAGCATCATGCCAGTTCAAGTCTTCGAAAACTGAACAACAGAATCAAGATGACCCAAAATCTAGAAATCCAGTTAGTAATCAGATCACCTGAAGATTGTCTCCCAAACTAATTTCGCCTGACGATTAACCCCCATATCGCTACATGAGATCGGGGGGGGGGGGGCTAGGTCAGTGCTATGAAGGTTATCTTGAGGTGAAATAAGCTGGGGTGGAGGATAAATCTGTAGGTGATTCAGTGAATATAACTTATTAGGACAGGTCGAGATCCAACCACTATCAGCTATTTCTTTTCACCACCATTTGTCTGTCATTTAACTGGCCAGTGAGGCGGTTGGTCAGGCCACAGTCATTTTTCTTCAGGTCTCTGTAGTATTTAAATTCTAAATTTTTAATTGCATTTTATACTGGTATTAAAGGCCCATCGTGGTGCAGCCTCCGTGCTCCTCATTTCCCGACACTGTTCAGAGAGACCGTCCAGAAGCATCGTCAATATTAATAATTTAAGTTTTACCCATAACTATACACGGACTCGTCAACAATGTTGAATTCATTGTTACCTGATGTGAATTATTATATAAGGAGAGAGATAATTTATCTCTTTATTGTTATATTTTTCTTTGCATTTTGCTTTATAATATAGTTCATTATGTCATTTAAGCATAAGAATAAACTAACAAGTAATGTGCATGTCTCGTGTAAAATAAAAATAAACCAAAAAATAATTTCTGGTGTTTGTGCAGTTTAATTATATCCCTATCAAGTAAGTGTTGTTTGTGGATAATAAGGGGGGGGGGAGTCACATGGCAATAAAAAGTAGATATAGTAATCCAACACTATACAGAAGAGAACAGAATTATGATGGTATATTGTAAGGTGACGGAGGGGTTCACTATTGACGTAGGAGCTACAAAAGTTTATCAGTCTCATGATGGGTATGCTTTATAATTATCCTCTTCGTCACTTGGGCAGTCAATCACGTCTGTTACGCACTGTTGGCATACACTTGTTCCATAATGAATCTCTATCTACGCCAGTGACATTGTAGAGGTGGTGTGTGTTTTGGAATAAGATAGTCAGCCATAAACTACAGTAAGACAACCCTCCAGAGAAAACGAATAACTTAGAGCATAAACTGAAGTGTTTTTTATTCACCAAACTTGCTGTTCCTCCCCAACAGTTTCACCGACCTGCTGCTGCTCCCCCCCAACAGTTTCACCAACCTGCTGCTGCTCCCTCCACCAGTTTCACCAGCCTGCTGCTGCTCCTCCCCACCAGTTTCACCAACCTGCACTTAGATCTGCTGCTGCTCCAGTTTTACCAACCTGCTGCTGCTCCCCAATAGTTTCCAATAGTTTCTACCAATCTGTTGCTCCCAATAGTTTCAATCTGCTGCTGCTCCTCCCACCAGTTTCACCAATCTCTGCTCTCCCAATGTTTGCCAATCTGCTGCTCCTCCCCACCAGTTTCACCACCTGCTGCTGCTCCCCCAATAGCTTAATCTGCTGCTCCTCCCCACCAGTTTCACCAATCTGCTGCTCCTCCCCACCAGTCACCAATCTGCTGCTGCTCCCCAATAGTTCGCCAATCTGCTGCTCCTCCCAATAGTTTCACCAACCTGCTGCTGCTCCCCAATCGTTTCTCACCAATCTGCTGCTCCTCCCACCAGTTTCACCACCTACCCCCCACCTTCCATTACAGAGAGAACCACCAACACCTTCATTCCCTCCACTCCAGGTTTACTCGAGTCGGTAATTACATTCAAATTGATCCGTTCCAAACACCACTTACTCGGAACAGTTAAAACCTTAATTACTGGAGTTCAGATGACAGAGTGCAAGTTAATGTAACAAGTTTAAGCCTCAAGCACTCCCGAGTACATAAGCTTGAGGTTAACACGAGAAATATCAGCTTTGTTTCTCTACCGTGGAAGATATGAGTTGAATCATGATAGACTTATTGTATTTACCAACCAATAGAATGTCGCCTTAACATGTTCCTTCTAGTAGTGTGTGTGTTTAAGATGCAGGGTTCAGATACGTCAATTTTCTTTACTGTGGCCGGGGTGGTTAAGAGAGAGAGAGAGAGAGAGATAGAGACAGACAGAGAGAGAAACAAAGAACAAGAAAAATAGAGATAAAGAAAGACAGAGAGAGAGAGATAAAGAGAGAGACCACCGTTCTCACCACCTGGAGGGGGGGGGGGTCACAACACGCTGCTCGCCGTCCATCAAGCGGTATGGGGCCTCCAGATAACACAAGGGGGAAAACAGACGCTCTTGTGGTTGTTTCATCATCTCGGCTTACGTTCGCTTAATTCAAATTACACCTTAACCAGCAATTAACTAATCAAACACTGAGCCACATCCGGTTCCGAGATTGTTATTGATGCGGGCCGGCAGTTAGCCCCCAGAGAAAGTCAATGACACACACACACACACAAGTATGAAATAATCAGGATTAACAATCAGCCTGAGAAATAGTGTCATAAGTTAATATGATAGATAAACTGTAGAAACATGTCAGCTTGAGTGATATAGTCATGAGTCAGCTTGAGTGATATATAGAATCATAAGTAAGCTTGAGTGATAGTCATGAGTCAGCTTGAGTGATATAGTCATGATAAAAAAAGCTTGAGAGATTCAGAATCATGATAACAAAGAGGACCTGAGCTGCTGGACAGACATGTGAACGACAACGAATGTCATAATCTTCCGGCTGGGTCTTTGTCTCTGCCTTATAACACACTTTGTACTCAATAACCAACCTGTCAATATTGTTTCATGAGGATCACGTGATATTGATCCTGTTCAACCCAACCTAACCTAACCCAACCAACCTGAATGAATGGAGAACACTTGATACATCCTCGTGTGCTTATCAGGGGTACTTTTAAGCCCGGACCATCGGCCTAGAAAATAGTGCGTTCATGTCCGAAATAAAGCAAACAAAGTATTAGGTTTTATGTCTAGAAGTGTAAGTAATAAGAGTGCAGAGGTCATATTGCAATTGTTTCTTGCGCTAGGCAGGCCGCACCTAGATCATGCTGTTCAGTTCCGGTGCCCTTATTATAGAATGGATATCAATTCACTGGAGTCGGTGCAGCGAAGAATGACGAAAATGATTCCGGGACTTAGAAACCTTCCATATCAGGATAGATTAAAGAAACTAAAATTGCATTCCCTGGAAAGACGAAGAGTGCGGGGAGATAAGATAGAAGTATTTAAGTGGGTGAAAGGAATCAATAAAGGAGATATAGATAAAGTTCTTATAATATCCGAGCAGGATAGGACTCTAGCAACGGATTTAAGTTGGATAAGTTTAGGTTTAGGAGGGAGATAGGAAGGAACTGGTTCACAAATAGGATGGTGGACGAGTGGAACAAGCTTAGCAACTTTGTAGTAAGTGCTGGGACGCTGGAAAGTTTTAAAAGGAGGCTGGATAGATTCATAGATGATGGAGAGTGGTAGTAACTCTC